CTGTCTCTGTCTCTCTCTCTCTCACACACACACACACACACACACACACACATATACACGCACTCGCGCGCGCGCGCGCAAAGAGTGTGCGTGCATGTTTGTGCGTCCGTCTATGTCGTGCACCGCCCTCTCCACATTTTGTGTCTTTTTGCTCGAGGATACGCACAGCAGCAGGGGCCTGATGATGTCTTTCAGAAAGTTATTAGCGCAAGGCTTTGCCTCGCCCGTACCGAGTTTTCGAATGGACGCTTGCAATCATGCAACGTGTCACGAATGGTTTGACTTATGCTATCCTACTTCCCGCTCTGCAATAAAGTGTTTTTTGAAGATATTGCCACTTGATTGCGGCATCATTAATTAAGACCAATAGCCAGTGCAATATCTCCGCTCAACGGTCTAACAAATGTAGAGGCCATGCTTGGCATCTCAGGGAACGATGGCCTGTTCTGGAAGTTGTAATCCTTAACACCACATGATGCTCTACTTTGGAGCTGTAAGTGTTGTTGACGTTTGTTTCGGTTTTGAAACGACGTACACATCCTCTGTGCGACAGGTTTGCGCGTGACGCCATGATAGGATAATGGTATCGAGCATACATTAAAAAAAAATAGAAATAAAAATCATTACGCTGTGAATGGATCATTCCGTCGTTCCGTCACAGTACAGTACCAACCGGCCTACGAGCGTGACCTGCCACGTGTGCTCGTTTCTTTTTCCTTTGATTTTGCGTGTGTGTGTTGGGGGGAGAGAGAGAGAGAGAGAGAGAGAGAGAGAGAGAGATGGCGGGGTGGGCTGTCCCCCGGAATGAAGGATGGGCCATATTGTTTAGCAGGGCCTGTAAACGGTAAATGGGCGCCTTAGCACAGGCCTATGAGGGGAGGGTTGGGACAGGGGGGGGTGGACCTCGAGCCCTACCCTGCTGTTGATTGGGAAAAAAATAAATAAAAAGGTGATGATGGTGGTGATGGTGATGGTGGTGATGATGACTAGTATACTGATGATGTTGAAAATACGTGTGTGTGTGTGTGTGTGTGTGTGTGTGTGTGTGTGTGTGAGAGAGAGAGAGAGAGAGAGAGAGAGAGAGATAGGAGGTCTCATCTAATTAGAGGAGCAAATGAATTAGAGACTCCGCACTGTCAATAGAAAGGAAAACAATCCAGCGGCCTAACTCAGTTGGTAAGGCTGGCAAGTGGCATTCAGGAGGTCGTGGGTTCAATCCCCATTGCCCTCATGTACCTTCCTGGGCATGCTTGGCGCCCGCCACCTAGAGATAGACCACTGGATCCCCCGATTGGCATTTAGCAGAGTCTGCTGATGTTCATAGGCGAGAGGACCTGAGGGGAGGCACAGGGATTGGTCCTGTCGGCATGGTCCCTGATGTTCCCGGCTGTCCCCTAGCCGGTATCGCCCACCTGCAGGTCGGGAGCAGCCCCCGCATGTTCTCTCGTGAACACGGTTCTGGCTGCTATGCCTACAATTTGGAGTAGTGGTAGGTATGTAGTGTGAGGTGAAATTGAGAGAAGAATATAGCTTTAAAAAAAGAAAAAGAAAGGAAAACAAGCAGAAATGATGACGTAGCCAAATGGCTCGTTATTTAATAATTGAATTAGTCATGGGCATTAACGGCTTCATGAAATACTCACTGTTTTCTTTTTGAGACAACAGCGCCTGTGACCGCTGCACAGTTCAGAATTCGCAGAAATAACAGTCCACAGTCCACTGCAAGATTGGGCCGTGAGCAGCTCGAAACAGCACGAAAAACAGCGATGTATGCTTTCCACGGCCTGCCGGTTCATAATTGGCAAAAACGGGACGTGGCCTGGCCTAGCAGGCCCTCCCGGTTTTTTTGTTTTTCGTTTTTCTTTTTTTTTGTTTAGTGTGGTCCGATGGACCACGGATCAGATATTAAACTGATCAGAACAGAAACTACACTTGATCTTTGCCAAAAGGTTGGCTTCTGGCGGGAAGGGGTTCGGGCTGAAAAAGTATCCCACTTTGTTAGTACAGGAAAAGCCGCCGTCCGCGCCCCGCCCCATTCTCTCTCTCTCTCTCTCTCTCTC